CGCAGCGCCCCACCAGCTGCCACGTGCTCCGGAGTCACGTAGACGCCGTGAAAGCACGACTCCCTGCCCGCCCGCTCCCGGGAGCCCCATTCTGCTCCCCGTCTCCCTAAACCCCCCGGCAGACCGCGGCATGTTCTCATAGCCCGCGCCACAAGGCCAGGATCTTTGCCATGTTTACGTTCGGTTCGGTATTTTCTTAAATTTTCTTCACTTGTAACCTGCTTCATGAGAAATGAAAATATCGCAAAAATAAATGTTGATCGTGGCTGACCAACCAGCGATTTTAAAGCTGTGGAGTAACGGAGACGCAGCAGCCGCAGGTATACAGCCTCGATTTCTCAGTATTTACTCGGGGAAAGTCTCGTCACCATCCACCACCCCACTTCGCCACTATTTTCCCTGCAGGAGAATCCACTAGACTGGCTCAGCAGCTCCCGTGTGAAGGGTTATTAGCCGCCTGCCGAGAGCCAGCCCGGGTCACTTGTTTTATACTGGACGTCCGTGGCTTTGTGTCTCCTTCACGCGCTCACCCCCCGCCCCGGCTTCCTCCACCGCTGGCCTCCCCCTAGCGGCTCTCTGGACCCTTGAAGTCATTTAAAGATGTGTTTGTTGATGATTACGGAGCTGGGATACAAGCCAGAGGAACAGCAGGGAGACAGGAGGGTCTGCTGCGCCCTGTGGGTCCCCTCGGGGCGGGGATCGAACGCTCACTGACGTGGCTGCGGCCGGCTTGCAGCCTGCGTCCTGACCCGCTGCGCCACCGGGGAGGCCTGAAGTCCGTGTTTTTAAGACCCCTCACTGGGCAGGGCCTCCGCCTCCGGTGGCACAGCCCCGCACGTGCCAGGGTACTGGTGCCCAGCGCCGCTTCATCCCCAGCTCAAGGTGGAGGCTCCGCGACCCCAGGCTGCTTTCTTCTGCCTGGACTCCCCGGGCCTCTCGGCGCGCAGGCCAGCCCCTTCTCGCCCCCAGAGTGCCCACTGCACGCTGTCCTCCACGATCCCCCACCCCACCCCAGGTCCTCCAGGCCCAGCCCCTCCCAAAGCCTGTCCACTGCACGGCTGCCCCAGCGGCCCTGCGCCCGGGCAAAGTGCTCTGCTTGCTGAGCTCACCGGGCCAGGGCTCCCGCGCCTCCCGCCAGCGCCGAGCCCGGGAAAGGCCAGAGCCGACGGTCAGTGGGTCCTTACAAGCCGGTGACCGGAGTCAGCCGCTCCGGGCCTCTCTGCGACTGTTCTTCCTGCTGTGACCTGGGCTGCCCCTTCCAGGCCTTCCCAGTCTACGGCGTATTACCAGGGAGCGTGATGCCTGTGCGCCGAAGCACCTGACAGCGTAAGTCACGGCTGGGACCGTCGGGGCTCACAGGTCTGGCGGTGCCAGGCGTCCTTGGGGTGTGGCTCCCCGTTGTCCGGCTGCCGGCAGCCGGCTGTGTCTGGGAAGTGAAAGCGGAAGCCTCCGCTCCATGGCGTGCCCTGCTCCTCATTCTCGGTCCTGACGGGGTGACACCAACATGGGTGAGAGACTGTGGGGGTGACTTTGGCGGCTTTTATCTTGATGTTGACGTTGCTTTCTCCCTCCCAGACTTGCCTGGCCATGTCTGACCCTTTTCCATGGGTGCCCACCGGAAGGTGCTCTAGACTGTGGCGGCTCTCAGGCCTCGCTTTGGCCAATCCTTTTTGGGTGGACTTTTAGCCATGAGGGGGACGGGTCACTCTTTGTCTTCTCCGTATTGCACACTTACTGATTAACGTTCCTTCCATGAAAGGTCTTATAGATATGCTTTGTCTTAATGTGATAGGTGGCAGAACCTATATGAAGTGGGTGGCTCGGGGGGTCCTGGGGTGCCCCTGCCCTGTAACAGTTAGAGGAAAGGGCAGTGTCCAGCTCAGAGAAGAAGCTACTCCCGAGAACAGGATCTCCACTGCCCAGTCTATGAAGGGCTTTTTGGGGAGCAGAGTTAGGTACCCGCCGTGAGCTGCCCCCGAAGCAGGCAGGCAGCCTTCCCTCAAGCCGCAGGAGCAGGAGGTCACAGCTGAGCTGTCTGGACCTGGTGTCCTGCTGCTGGTGGACCCCCCCCCCACTTTGCTGGTCAGAGCCTGGGGAGCCCATGCCAGACAGCAGCATGGCAGAGGGGTGTTGCCTGGTGGGTGGCAGGTGGCACCCATGCTCCTGCCTGGCTCCCAGTCTAAGGGCGCCTTTCCAGAAGTTTCTCCACCTTGATGAAAAGTAACAACGGACTGCCACTTGGCTTGCTTTGGCTGGGGAGAGAAAGAACATTCCATGCATGCTTTTAATATTAAGAACGAAGAACAGGAAATATTATGTTCAATAAACATAATAAGTCATAATAATAAAGATATTTTGGCTGCACACGATGCCAGGAAAAGAGAAAAAAGGGGAAAAGATGAAGAAAAGTTGGGGAACATGATGGCAGCAAAGGAGAAGGCAGGGAGGGAGGTAAGTGGGGGAGAAGCGGGGTCTTGGGGAGGCACAGACGGGGCACTTCTTTCTCACCGCCCCCAGCGTGATGCGTACCCGGGCTATTGCGGGGGGCTCCTTGTTTAACTTGGAGTTCACGTTTATCAAAGACATGCGCGCATTTTAAATAACCTTTTTGAAAAGTCCAGTCATTCTCCAAAGCTTTTCTAAAGGCAGCAGATCACTAACCGCTCCTTTCCACCCCCGCATTCAGCCTTTCTGCTGTGACTTTTTGTAATTTTTCACTTCTAACTAGCAAAGTGACACCTGACTCCAGCCCCACCTGTGCGTCGTCCACCCCCACGCTGGGGTGTTGCACCGTTTTACCGTTTTATCTCCCCTCCCAGTGCAGACTGTTGTGCAAGCGCTACCCAGGCCCCGGCCCATGGTGTGGTTTTTCCACGACAGTCTATTTTCTCTGGAGTTAGGCCTCGCCTGATGTTACTCTGCGCAGCCTCTATTTACCACTAGTTCTTCTCCAAACTCGTGATAATCTCCTTAGTCTCAATGGGCTGTTAAAAGTGTATTGTATGTTCCTTGTTTTTAGACTAACGCGTTCAAACACTTGAGGATACGTTCAAACACTTGAGGATACAGACATGCCTTTCTTGTAAAAATCAAACAGTAGAGAAGTGCACAGAGTAAAAACTCCCCCTCCCTCCCTTCCTTCTCTCCTCCCATCATCACTGCTCTGCGTCTGATGAGTTTCTTTCTAGGCATGTCCCTCATTTACCTATGCATCTGTGGACTTGGAGAAATACATGGTCAACTTTGGGGGTTTTAGTTTTCCCATGAGTGGAGATGTAGCCTGCAGTTCTCTGGTTTCACTCTACAGTGTGTCTCAGTTGTATTTTCCTGCCAGCTCACGTGCCATGTAATCACGTCACATTGTTCTTTTTTATACCTGCATAGTATTCTCTAGTAGGGGTTTGCAGAATTCATTTTCTCTTGAATCTATCGCCTCAAGGAAAACAGCTACCAGTATTTGTTGCCAGTGATAATTAGCTTTTGAGGGGAAAGTTGGAATTCTGTAAGGCCATGAGCTCAAGCCTTCTCCGATGAGCGTGGTGGAGATATTACCTACACGCCTTTGTGTTCGTGCATAAAGAAATGCATCACTGTCCAGAAGACCCGCTTAAATCACTGAACAAATATTTTTAACATGATCAGTGCTTCAAGCCTTAAAACCATGCCATCGGCATAGCATCTGTGCTAGGTGGGAGGTAGGAAATGTATTTTTTTAAGATTTTATTTATTTATTTGTGCACACAGAACTGGGGTAGAGGCCAGAGGTGCAGGGTGGTGAGAGGATTCACCAGAGACAGAGCGGGGCGCAGAACAGGCAGATCGACAAAGTGCCCTGTTGAGGGGAGCAGCGGACGGGACAGGAGCGATCTGCTGTGATTGTGGATCACCTCGGGGCGGGGATCGAGCTTGCACTGAGCAACCACGGCTGGGCTTAGCTTCTCAGTGCAGTGCTCCAACCCGCTGCGCCGCCAGGGAGGGCCCCAGGAAATGTATTTTAATGGGAGGGGACATAAAAAAGTTCACCAGTCCCACCAACTGTACACTGCAAGTAACCTTAAAGAAATTACCATTCGCCAAGATTGTACCAGCAAAGAGGGACCTCCAGAGGTGATGGGGTAGGTTGTGAGCACTGTGTTCTAACTGCGTGTTTGGGTGAGGCCGGCTTTCCTATCTATCAACCAAAATGACACGGCCACAGATTGAATGCAGAAACAGGTCATCCAGCTGTCTTCTAGAAGGCCGGAGACTTGCAAAGAGTGTAAAGTAACATCACACTTCTCCATCACATTTTTTTGGAAGCTAGTTCTTTGTAATAAAAATGTATTATTTATGTTCACATGTAACGGGTTATTTTACTTTTAAATGAACTGGTAGAGCTTTCGAACGGTCTCAGCTTTCATTTTGGAGACAGCAAATGCCAATAGGCGTCACCCCATAAGCAAAAGCTCGTTAGGTTGTTAATCACTTTCAACCGCCCCTTGAGGTTGAAGAGCTCGAGAAGAGTCCCCCTCACTGACCTCCTGAGAAGAGATAAAGCCAAAACTCTCGCCTGGCTCTCAAAGCCTGCACGTCCCAAGTCTGCCGCCCTTCCCACAAGCCTCATCAAAATAGGAAATACAATTATGTCCCTACAACTTGATTTTGCAATGGTTCCCCCCTCCCCCCGCCCCACATCTTTGGGAATGTTTAGATAATTGTCTTTGGTGAAGCATCATTTTCTTGTCCTGAAAGTTCTAGAGCTCCTTTGGGGATTCCAGATGACTCGCTTTGGCTGCAGGAGATGAAAAAAAAAAAAACCCCAAAACAAAAAAATCACGTGCTCAGCACTCAGCTGACGCCAGAAGGAACAAGAGATTGAATTTTATAAACTAAAGCCCATCCAGTGGGGAGAGGTTCTTTATTAGGTTTTCAAAAATAGGAGTCATTCCGATTCTCTGGCCGCAGGCTTGTTTTTCATCCGCTCGAGGTTAAGCCCCAAGAGTTGAGTTGCTGCTTGGGGGCCGCCTTGCGGGGGGACATTCTCACGAGGAAGTCCTGCATGGCCCTCCGCAACGCAGCGTTCTCGGCCACCTCCCTCAGGCTCCGGTGCAGCTTGTCCATCTCCTTGAATTCGCTTTTGAAGTCTGTAGAAGAGCAGAAAAAAGGGTAGAAGTGAATATCCTTTTCAGAAATGTCCCCAGACAACAAGCCCGGGCGGCGGCAGCGGCCTGGGTCACTTGTCCCAGCGGGGCGCTGCCATGGCCCGAGAGTCCGAAAGTGCTCACGGGTCCCTCTGGTTCGGCTTATCTCCGCCTGCGAGTCATCCTCAGGCGAAACGCAGACTGCCCCCGGAAAGGCCTGGGGCGTCTCTGGTTCTCACAGGGCCCCCAGAGGAGGGACAGGGCGCACCGCGGGAGCCCTTCCTGAGTCGCTCCCCCACCGCCGGCCCCCGCCAGCACCCCCGTGCCAGGGCCCTGCTGTTTGGCAGCTGGGGTTCTTAGCCCGCGCTCTGCAATTAAATTGCAACCTTGTGAGGGCTATTTTTATATGTCAGTTTGTCTGGGCCCCAGGGCCCCAGTAAAAGATCAAAATTATTCTGGACGTTTCCATGCCTATATCTGTGGGTTGCCCTTCCCAGTGCGGTGGGCCTTGTCCAATCAGGCGACGATTGGCAGAGAACAACGGCGGAGAAGCTGGTCTCCCCGGAGCAGCAGCAGGCGCCGGCAGGCTGCCTTGGGCTCGCCCTGTCCACGGCGCGCTGCTGTGGGACTTGAACCGCGACTCCTTCCTGAATGTCCAGCCATGGCCTCCCCCACACATCTGGGACTTGCCGCATGTCCTCAAGGTCAAGTGCTGATTCCTTAAAATAAGTCTCTGCAGGACCCCTCTGGAGGGCCCAAGGTAACAGGGCTCTGGGAAAGAGCCCTCCAGCTGACCTGGGGCTCGGCTCTGGCACTGTTCCCCGGTGCCTCTCCAGCCCCCTGGGCTCTGTATGTCCCACGCTGTGCCTCAGACCCACCGCCTGAGCCTGGCCAGCAACGGCTTTCTGGCCAGGAGGGGCGTGAGGCCCCTGGCCGCTGCCTCGCCCTCCGTCTGCAAGCTCACCCCAACCACCCAGTGCCTCTCCAGTCCTGTCTGCCCTCGAGGTCCCTCTGAACCCAGCGTCCATCAGCCGCCCCTTGTCCAGCCCCGAATGGCCGTGTCCTGACGGCTAGAGTGACATCCGGCCGGGGTGCTCAGTGGGCTCGACTCGCCGCTCCCCGGGGCGCTCCTCGGCCCCCTCCGCCTCCGCCTGCCCCTCTCTGCCTTCCCAGACGTGCGCCCCTCGGGCGCCCACGCAGCTTGCTTGCCGCCCTGCTTGCCGCCCGCCACGCGGGCGCACGAGGCTGGACGCTCCACGGAAGCAGAGCTCCGTCTGGGCTGGTCCCTGCTGCTGCGTCCTCAACGCCCACGCCACTGCCTGGCACCCAGGGGCGCCTGACCTCACCTCGGGGTGGACCATGCCCCGACTGCTGAGATCTACATCCGCGCGTCGTGTCGGGCCAGCCGGGTCGGACCGCAGGGACTGTCCGCCCTGCGGCGCCCGGCGAGTGTCCCCCACAGAGTGCGTGTTTGCGCCGCAGTGAGCAAGGCCACCGGGGGCTCTGGGGCCAGCTCCGGGCGTGTCTTCCGTCCGTGCCCGGGACAGCGGAAGACATCGGGCTTTGCAGCAGCAGACACTGGTGTCGCTCGTGGGAGGACCTCGGGGAAGGAGCGAGTCCAAGCACTGCAGCTGTGCAAACGTGACACTGATCGGGGACCCCAGACCCCCGCGCAGTGCCGCCTGCGTCGGCAGACAAGGCGCCTGCGTCGGCAGACAAGGCGCCTGCGTCGGCAGACAAGGCGCCTGCGTCGGCAGACAAGGCGCCTGCGTCGGCAGACAAGGCGCCTGCGTGAGACCGCAGGGCGGGTGCGGATTCAGTCTGCTGCTTTCCAGTCCCGGGGGCACGTCCGAGCCCTGCTCCTGCGGTAGCGGAAAGGCGCGGCAGGGTCCCCCTCGCGGGCCGGGGGCCGGGTGACCGGAGGGGAGCACAGAGCCCAGCCTCGGGCGGATGGCCACCGCGGCCCGGCCCCGCCCTGGACCTCCTCCCCCACGTGAGGCCTCTAAGCGCAGCGGGAGCAGCTCGGCGCGGGTGTCCCCTTACCTGCCAGCTCCTTGTAGAGGCCGTCCCCCTGGGACGAAGCGAGGGTCAGCATGGTGGCGATGCTGCCCTTCACCCTCTCCGTGATCCCGTTCTGTGGACAGAGGACAGTCTGCCGTCAGGAGGGCCGGCCCAGGGACGGCGCTGTGGAGCGAGCCCGGCCCGCCCAGCCAGGCAGCGCCCTCACGGCCGCCCAGCTCCCCGCCCGTCCGCGGGCGGCCACTCCAGACAGACCGGACACCCACGAGCCCCCGCCAAGCAGTGTGGGGCCCCCCGTGTCTCTGCCCCACTTCCCGCCTCGCCAGGCCCGTGGGGGCTGGACCCCGTGACTGACGCGCAGGCCTGGAGGCAGGGAGCTGGGGCCACCGCCCTGGCCAGTCATGCCGGGTACTCGCCGCCGCCCCCACAAGCATCCGGGGAGCACCCCTGCCGGCCGCACCTGACGCGCTCCTCCCGCTGCCTGGGAGGGTCCCTGTGCCGCGGCCGTCCTGGCAGCTAATCCACCTCCCCTCTCCTGGGGTGTCTGGGCTCCCTGGGAGACACCCGAGTCCTCCCTGCGGCCCCAGAGAGCCTGGCTTTGCGCCTCCTGACTGCCAGACTTAGGCTTCTCTCCAACACAAGCTCATCAGCACCAGCCGCCCAAACCCCGGGGGCCCAACCCCCCCTGTGCCGGGGTGGGGCGCGTGGGCTCGCCAGGGCCAGGCGCCCGCAGCAGGTCTACACTGTCCCGCTCATGCTTTCTAGACGAGCTGCTTTCTCGGGCAACTTAGGGCCGACTGCCATGTGTCCGCTGGGGGCTGCGGCTGTCACGCTGGGTCATTTTCTGCCTGTATCTGTAGACAGAAGCTAACCTGCTTGCAGCAAATGAGGGGCCTTGTACCCCCTTCCAAGCGATCTGATCCCCGGCTTCACATGCGGAGAAAGCACTCGAGGAGGCCGGGGAAGCGGGGGGAAACGGGGGAGCAGAAGCGGGTGGGAGGTTTCAGGGAGAGGCTGGCTCAGAGGCGTCACGGGTGGCAGCTTGCTGGGCGCTGAGCAGGCTGGGAGCGGGTCAGCAAGGCCAGGGTGGAGGCGGAAGGATCCGGAAACACACGCGGCCGCGGCGGGGGGTGCCCACAGTGCTTGCTTGGACGATGACAGAGAATGGATGGGACTGGGGCGGGCGCAGGCCACGGGCTGAGAGAGCGGCTGGAGGGAACCTAGGGCCGGGCCTCAGAGAGAGACAGGCCGAGCCCACCTCTGCC